CTCATGAGAACTCATTAGTTTTGAGTACTTATCTTTTAAAATTGAATATTTCAGGAGTACTGGTGACACAAGTTCCCAAGCAGACAAAAATTTTGAAATACCCGTTTAAACACATTTTTCAGAATTTTTGTCTACTTTGGTTTTGTTTACTCTAGTATTGTTTTTGTAATATACTGATAGTTAATTATTATGTACAACATCGTTCTACTGCATTCATTTTGTTTAATTGAAAAACTAATAATAAAATACTGCTGTAAATTATGAAAATTTTAGAAATAAAGATGTTATTTTACATTTATGTTTTTATGTATAAAGTATGGAGATAAATTTCTTTTATGAAAGAAATACATCTAAAGCGTTACAATTAATTATCCCCTAAAAAGTACTAATTATCATAAGTATGCTCTTATTCTTCACAGACACAAAAAGAAAATTGTGAGATACAAAAACAAAAAGAAATTCGAAAAATCTAGTTAAATCAGTTGAAAGATTTCAACTTCAACAAAAATTTTCAATCGAAATATATCAGTTAACATAGGCGATATTAGTATACATGCAGCATTGATCGTCAGAAAAACACAAGCAAATATGTTGTATTCATAGATAGATTTCATTTAGTAATACATGAAAAAATTAAAAAAAAGAATTAGCTCACCATTTTTGATATGATGTACTTATCTTCAAAATATTGAATTTAGTGTCCTGCATTAGGTCGGGTTTGAAAACCCGATCCAATGCAGGACACTAATCGAATTCTAATCGATGTTTGCAATAAACATTATTACATGTCTTTTGTTTCGTTGATTTTTACTTCAATCTGAACAAACAAACTATATTAATTCGAAAGAATATTCAATCTAAAGTTTCGAAAATGAAATCAAACAAATAATAGATAAGTTCTCAAAATAGTTTTTTTATTTTCATATAGTCATAATATTTTGTACACATCTTTATTCGATTCGTATAGATGCTAGTGCATAAATACTTTGTTATGTATTTTATCAAGAAAATAGAATGAATATTACACTTAGTGCTTATGTCTTCATCTGTGAGTAAATCTTGGAAAAAATAATTCATATGAATATTCTCTAGAGTACAAGAAAAGTATGATTATACATATAGTTTCTCGAGTACTCGCGCAACTAATTTGAGTATTTTTACTGGCAAGTTGTACTTATTAAGTGAGTATTTTCACTAGAATAATAATCATCTTCAGTCTTGTATTGGTCTACCTACAAAATGTCGGATCGAACATTTCTGCACATAATACCAAGGGTATGTTATTTTTTTTCTCATTTTCACTTTTCTCGTCATCAACATTTCTCTTCTCTAATAAATTCAGCCTCGACTTCATTCAGAGCAACGTATGCAACGAATATGATAAATTCTAACAAACTTTTTATTATCGACTCGACATCTTTGGCAACTAGTGTACATCTATTGTTTAATATTTTTCATTCAATACATATTTTTTATTTCATCTTGTATAGTTAGTTAAACAGCTACATCTGTCTAGAACCAGTACCGTAAAAGTGATATTATCGCAATTTCTTCAGTCATCATCCAATCAGAGAAAGAAAGAAGAGTAAGTGAAATATCAAAGATGATCGGTCATTTGCTTGTCCCATATAGAAATAGATGTGACCGTCGCATAAATGGTTTCAAAGGTGATCTCTTTGTCGTTGAAGCTGAGGTCTTTGGTGAAAATACGTGTCATACTCAATATTGCCATGAAAAATTAAATCAAGAAATTGAACGTTTGGTGAAATTGCATGCATTTCTGAAAATACCTTTCAAAGCGGTTAGTGGTCGGCATGTTACTATTTCAATGGTCTTATGCAACTTTGATGAACTCCTTTCAGGTGAGTTGTCGCTAATTGTCCTTTCTTTTTGGTAGAATTTCAATCTATTTTTCTCAAGCACCACCTACTTGCTATAATAATATTCGAAATCTGGGTGAAGCAGGTGTTGGTTGTGATGGCGTTACTTGCTCACGTCTATGCGACAGAAATGAAAAATATGCTGTGGCATCAGGCTATAGAAATTCGGCTGGTGCCAAAGGAGTCTGCTTAGGTATGTAAAAGGTGGATTACAACAGTTGTGAATAGTATCAAAATTATCAAGAACTACTTTTGGTTGATTTAAGTGGATATATCCATGGATTTTTCTTAACTCAATACTAACTCATTCCAATTAGACATAGACTATATATTGCGTTCTCTAGTTTTACTATTTCGACATAAAAAGTTTTGGGAATTTATTCTTAGTAAACTAGATCACTGTCTGATAAGGGTCAATTTGTTTCTACTCATACTCGAGCTGGACTTTTTAATAGTTATAATTGCATAGTTTTCAAACAAACAAACGATAAAATTTGTCTTTGATCTGATTGAAGAATAACTAATTGCTAGACGAGATCTCTATGTCACAACTAACTAAATATAAAAAATATTCATAGATAAATGTAATAAAATCTTGGCTATTTGCAAGCGTATTGAAAACAAAATCAGCTCTGCTTCTGAAGTGTTCTATCCGTTCGATGTTGAATATAATAACAGCATCAACCATTCTGTCGAATCTTCGAGTGCATTCTCTATCTGTAGTGTGGAACCAGGTACAGCTGACGATGTTGTAATAGTTGTAAGTAATATCATATTTATATACAGTATTTTACTCGGTCACATATTTATTCCTGTAGTTGACAATCATTAGAGAGACTCAAGTTCCATTTGGAATCAAAGGCGGTGGACATTCATTCAATCCTGGATTCAGTTCGACAACGAGCATTCTTATTGCCATGAGTCGTTTTCGTCAAATAACATACCATGCAACTAGTCAGACGGTAGATTTAGGAGCTGGACTCTTGTGGGATGATGTGTATCAAGCACTGGATCCATTAGGTGTTACTGTTGTTGGTGGCCAAATCTCTGGCGTAGGCATTGCTGGACTTATACTCGGTGGTGGTTACAGTCGGAAATCAAACCAGTATGGTCTCAGCATTGACAATGCAATTGAATATGAAGTGAGTAAAACATGATCATTTAAGAAGCTCTTGATCATATGAACATTCAAATAAAAATTGTTAATGTTTTCATCACAGAATTAGTAGTATTGAATCTCTTGAATATGCCTCATACGAAATTATAGAGATCATCTGTTATGTAGCTGGCGTTATTTTAACAAATACAAAATTTTTGAATCTTTTTCATTGTACTCATGTTATTATCATGAATAGTAAATTTTAATAAATTTTTATTTGACAATCTGTATCTTTCAACATTACTTGTAGAAATCATTTTATTTTTGATATACATTTTTCAGCTGGTCTCTCCAGATGCCAGAATTGTTTGCGTTAACAATATGTCGTATCCGGATATATTTTTCGGCTTAAAAGGTGGATTGAATAATTTTGGTATTGTAACCAGGTTTACGATGCGTGCTGTACCACAAACAGAAGTTTATGGTGGAGTTCTCACTTACAACCTGTCTGAGTTCAACGCAGTTATGCAGACTTTGTCCAATTTTCAAGCTAACAATAAAGATCCGAAAGCACACATTACTGGAACGTTCCTTATGAGGGATGGCCAATACGTCTTGGTGTTTCTCATTTTCTACGATGCGCCAAATGCTCCATCGGGCACCTTCGCCGATTTCATCAACATTCCACATTTGGGTACTTTCAAAACTCAATCTTATCTATCCTTTCTCCAGCTTCTACCAGCCAACGCATTCTCTAGTTTACGGTAAATCACTGTCATTCATATTTGCAACATACGTTTGAGAAGAGATCCATTCAGATAGCTCAAATGAAGTTTTCACCTTCTATTAGTATGAAGAGGAATGATTTATAGTACAGAATCCCACTACCGTTTTTTTTTCACAAAAACTACAAGATTATAGTGAGAGTTTTCTCTTTTCTTCTCAAAAGTAGTGAATTTGAGTAGTTTTTTTCTTTTCTAATTATATAAATTTGAGAAGAGCAGTTTGTGATGTTGTTTATGTAAAGAAATCAATAAACTTTGGAGCAATATACATACGATATCTAACTAAAGCATTTCTTCGATGAATCTCCATTTAAGAATGAAAGATAACAGTTCCTTATTTCAATAGGAGTCGCCTCAGTACTGTCTCCATCACACGATTTAGCATTAATTTATTGCAAGCAATAAACAACCAACTCTTATATTACAATTCAACATTGGGTTCGAAACCTGGAGCATGGTTTCAAATCACTGTCGAACCATTTCTTCCGACTTATTTCGATAACTCACAAGGTGGCGCTTATCCACATGTTCCTTCATCCACACCACTTCTTCCTATGAACATTCAATTCGCCTGGGCATTACCATCAGATGATAATGTGTTTATTGATGGGATTAAGTCAGTAACCAAGGCCATTCGACAAGCAGCACTTGCTGATTGTCAAGATGTTGGTGGATCAAAAGAGATTCTCTATCCAAATTATGCTCTCGAAGATACACCTCTTGAACAAATGTACGGCAAAAATCTGCCTAAACTTCGACGCATCCGCCAAGAATGGGATCCGAATAACATCATGTGTCTCTGTGGAGGCTTTAAGTTTTGAAAGAACTTATGAAAATGTGACTTTTTTTTATTTTATTCAAGCTAATTTATATTTCGTTTTTTCATATTTAATCACCGAATTCATTTTATACGAATAAAATCTAATAAAGACATGTTTTATCAAAATAATACATATGAAAACTAAGAAGAAATACTGGTAGTCATACAACTTCTTGTATAAATATCTTTCATAGAAATCGATTCAAAACAACTACATAAATATATTACTTCGGTCATACTAAAAAATTAATGGCAGAAGTACTTCAATTCATTATGAAACGATTTAAGAAACTTTCTTTCTATATAATCTGATAGAGAAAAGAATGCTCTATTTCTTTTATTCTATCTGATCATACTTCAAGTAGTATCATAACAATAAACTTTTGGTAAGACTTGTTTTTCTATGAGCTATGTCCGATAGCACTATTACCTATTTTGTGAGTATTTTGTTGGATAAATTTTGATACAAAACAGAATCGACAATTGCGGTTTTTATTATTCGAAGGAAGACACCATTATACATCGAGTCATATATTATACGCTTTTTTTGACGTGACTTTATTAAAGGATTTCAATCAATCTTTTTGAAAGCAATCCTATTCGTGAAATATTTATAACGAATTCTCAATTATCACATGCAATATTGAAATCGTCGATGGATGATATGCAATCCTAGTCGAACATCTTGTAAGCAAGATTTTGAAATCTTGGGACCGATAAACAAGATCTTCATAAGATCTTGAAAAGACAATTTGTACGTGAATATCTTGATTGTATCAGATAAATCTGTACTTAAGGTCTTGTTAAGATTATAGAAAAGATATTGTTTACTATTATCTTCTCACAAGATGTTGAGTAAAAGAGCGACATCATTAGTGTTTACATGCTGACTAGTCATTCACCGTTTTTTAATGCAGATAGAGCCATACATAAACAACGTGATTGAACATATAAAACATACGTTTTCAACATAGTTTTTTTTTAAAACTATTTCTCGAGTGTTGATCATTCGAGAACATGCTGATCTCGATCGATGATTGAGAGAGGACTACTCTGAAGCAGTCTAATGGAGATCGAACCATCTCAAGATCAGGCAGATTCCAACATCTGACTTGCCTCTGTTATTTGGGATAGGAACACTTAAAATGAAAATAAATTGAAAAAATGTCATTACATGGTCGTACAGAAAAAAAAATGCACTATTTGATAGGTTCGAACCACGATTTCAGAATGCATTATGCATTCTGTCGCAAATCACGACGCATGCAACACATTTCATCTTAGTATGTATCCAAGATCTTACGAATCTGTACCCAAGATCAGATTCAAGATCTTGGTACAAGATAATATGATTATCTTGTACCTAAATTTTTAAGATCTGTTAACATTTCTGTACCTTGTATCTTGGCCAAGATTTTGTTTACAAGATGTTCCACTAGGGTTACTATCTTTCTTTGAATCATGTTTGTTTAGTAATCAGAAATATGATTATTCTATTGTATATTCGACATACACGACCTTTCATCACTATCATGCTTTGAATACGATTTGAATCACTTCCTTGCGAAGCAAGTGTAATAGAAGCAACGTGTCTATCATTACTTTGTGCTTCTGTTAGGTCGTGGTATATATTCTACTACCTTGATCGTTCTCTTTCTCTTCTATATGCAATATATTCTTTTGCTATCGCGCTTGGACTACTTCGTTGGTTCTGTTGCAGGACTTTTCTCTTTTCTTTCTTTCGTATATACGAAGATTTTCCTTTCATGTTATTCATCTATAGGATTTTCAATTTCATGGATTTTTGCCCGTTTTTTGTAACCTTATATATAGTTGTGATTTTGGCTCCAATAAAGTTGTTGGAGAAGAAGAACCAAACTTAACAGCTTCGAAAAATGGCAAATCAAAATATGTTGCCTATCTATCGATTTATTTTCAAATTCGACAAAGATTGAATGATTAAAAAAATTTTTCTTTCAATTCTAGATAATCAATATCGATTTGTTCAACAGTTAATTCTACACTAGGTACGTCTAACTTAAGTGATGAAAGCGCGATAAGTCATACCGACCATACAAAAAAAGACTAAGACCAAGAAGACGAGACAAAGTTCCGCATACCTGATATAAAATTAATTTTTCTTTCACAAACTTAAAAACTAACTAATCAACCAAATTTTTATCCTTCCGTCTGAATGCGTCTATCAAACGAAAAAAAAACGAGGTCTTTTCTCCTTAAAAAAAATAGTTGTGCAGCAAAAAATGTCGTTGTTAGCGGTGATTCACCATCATCCTTCCCTCGATATCTTTTTACCTTTCGTTTTCTCATACTGTTGCTGCTAGTGTTATTGTTATATATATATATCTCTTTTTTTCTTTCTTTCTCTCTTCTCTATTACCTGTTGTTATATATATATGTACGTGATTTTAAGGACATTATATAGAGATAAATAAACAAACATAAGCTCGTCGTTTACGAGCTAACAATTTGGCGCCGTGACCCATCTTCTTCTATTCACTACATCGAAGAAGAACGAACTTATTAGTTAATTTACTCATCTGTGATGGAAAGAGTGAAGTACCATCTCATCTTTTAGGAAAGAGAAGATTATATATTGACATACAAATTCACTTCAAAATTTAATTATCATAAGAAGGTATCTTCTTTCTATATAAAGTTCAAATTTTTTGTCCTTCCTTTAAGTGCATTTTTTTTTCAACAACGGCTACCGGTACAAGAAACGCAATAAAACAAAGTGGTACGAACCTGTGATCATATAAATTAATTACTAATTCATCAACAAGAACACGAAGTAGAAAACCAAACGATATTTTATCTATGCAAGAAACGGAAACAACTTCAATGGAAACAACTTACATGGAAACTCAACAACTTCATTCAAGTCAAAAAGAAGCAATGAAGAAAATAGCTGAATTTTCAGGAGAAGCTAATGAACTCGATATCGATGAATGGTTATTTGATTTAAATAATTTATTTTCATTAATGAAATAAAAAGATGAAACAAGAATCCTTGAAACAATGGGCAAATTAACAGGGCCAGCATTACGATGGTATCAAGAAAACTTACGATCATTTATCAACTGGAGTGATGCTGAAAAAGCATTACGAGATCGATTTAAAGAATTTACATCAGACAGTCAATTAATGCAAGAATTTTTTTATATTTATCAAGAAGAAAACCAATCTGTTATATCATTTTATGAAAATGTTATCCGAAAATATAGAAAGTCTCGACAATTTATTACTGAACAACAAGTTATTACGGTATTACAGAATGGTGTAAAAAATTCATTAAAGGGACATTTAATTCGTAATGAAAAAGAAATTAAAAAACCAGAAGAATGGTTGCAATTTGCAAGAGAAGAAGAATATATACAAAAACGAATTCAACAAAAAATTAACGTTCCACATCATGAACCAAAGAATTTACCATTTTTTGAACGTACATTACCAACTGCAACAATTCAATTAACGTCAACGAATATGTATTTATCAAGTCAACAACCATCTACATCACGTCATTACTATAAAAAACAACATCAACAACAATCAACATCAATAAATAATCGAACATATCCAACACAAAATAATTATACGACTTTTAAACCCACTCAAAAAAATCATTCAAAGAAGGAGGTACATCAATCGACTCCATGTTTAATTTGTAACAAAAAGAATCATGCAACAAGTAAATGCTTTTATAAGAAAGATAGTGGATGTTTTAAATGTGGACAATCAAGCCATCAAATACGTGATTGTCCTCAACAATATTTTTTCGAATAAAGGGGTCGGATGATGGCGACGATCCCTGTGGAGCCACAAAGTCATCAACCAAAACAACATTTGCTCCCATTTTTGTTAAAATTTTATGTAATAATACTCCACAAGAAGCACTCATCGATACCGGATCGGCCATCACTATTATACATCAACATCTGTTAAATGATGTACCACATGAAAAATTAATACCAAAAACAATAAATCATTTATCTGCAAATTGCTCAACATTAAATATTATTGATGAGATACCCTTAGAAATAAATGTTAATGGAATGAAAACAACAGTTATTGCTGATGTTACAACAAATCTTGTTACAAATTTAATATTAGGTAGTGATTGGATTCAATCAAATAATGTTTATATCCTTACACCTGAACAACGAATTATGATCCGAAGTCAAGGTAAAGAAGTATCAACTCCTTTTGTACAACCACCTCTTCTAAATTAGTTTTTCATGCCAGTTCTCTTGTCGTAGAAAAGTTTGTTTTATTTTATTTTATTCTATATTCAAGAGTTTTATTTTTTAAACAGATGTATACATATAGTACTCGATCTCTACTTTCTATTGATTAAAAAAAAATTTTAATTATATTGAATAGTTTTAATATACGGTTCAAAAGAAAAAAGTAGTGCGAGACTTTTGACGTGCACAGTACTTGCTTGAATTCTCATATGTATATGTATTGCTATCTCTTCTTTCGTCTTTATGATGAAAAAGTTCTTCCTTTCAAGCCATTTTCTTCTTAATGACAAATATTAAATGTATGGTTGCGATTATAAACGAAGATTAATCTCGAGATTCTATTGTTGAAAAGAAAACAACGAATAAGACTGAGTATTCAAAGAACTTCTTTTCACGAGAAAGCAGGCCTGAGATAAGGAAAAGAGAAACGATGATGGCAACTAATTGAAAAGAAACATTCATTCATCACATATTGCAACTCCTTAGGATCGAAATATTTTTATTGGAATATTTATCTGCTCCTACATTTGGTAGAACTTTTGTGATTTCTCATGTTCAGATGCTTAGTGAATATTGCGAGAGAGCAAAATCCTTACTATATTTGTTCACTTTCATGGATCATGCAACAATGCTTGCATCTCTGTCTTTCCTTTCCTTATCAAATATCGCTTATACATGTTAACGTTTGCCCACATCATCACTTTATCTATTTACATCATCTACATGCACGTCCCACTATCTTGATCGAAAACTCTGCTTGTCCACCATTAACATTCATAAGATAAATACTCCTTTTTTTGCTACTCATTCGAAGGTAAGCACGATGGTGAGAGAGAGTTCCAATCTTCTACGATATCGTACTCTTGTTTCTTGATCGCATTCGTTAGAGTTCTGAGACTTTTCTCCGACTGTCATTTCGTTTCGCAATCCATCCGTCTTCGTCTGTGGTCATTGTACCTCATGCGTCTTGCACTTCGTTGTATACCTTACTTCGAGCGCACCATTTATCCTTTTTTCCTTTGCTACTTTGCTTTGTTCAGAATCCACTATCTCCAACATATTTCTTTGTCTGACATTACATTTCATGCGTTTCCCTTCGTCGACTATGCCAAGACTTTTTCTCAGATAACCTGATAATAAGTAAGTCAATGACAGAAAGAGTGTAACAATGCTGAATGAAGGAGTGGACACCTAATCTTGATTTTCTGCTTTTTTTTAAATTTTTGTCAGATTGGGAGCTCTTCCTTGAGAGTGTGGGTGATGACAGAAAACAAACCTATTCATACTTTCACACTACGTATTGATCAATTATACACTTTGCAATCGATGTTTAGTAAAAATGATTTGTTTTATTTATGCAGTCTATAGGTCGTAAAAGAGAAACAAACATGTTGAAGTTATTATTATTATTATTAGAACTTACAATTTTCATCCTTTCGATGAGTATGTATACGGTAATATGTGGTTCTTCGATGTTATGGCTTCATGTTGTTCAACCAAACTTGACAGCAGGTAATGGATTTGTCACTTTCGATTTAGTTCATGACTATCAGAGTCTAACAACAAATATCTATTCGGTTTATAGCAGTTTTCTACGAGAACAACGACAAAGAAAAAATCATCAATGATGTCACTATCAATGGTTTAATTAATATAATACACACTTAATTGAGATTGAGATTAATTTATGGTAGTAAATGGCAAAGTTTTTCAATTATTTTTTATTACGACTAATAGAGATTATGGGTGTGATCTACTATATGTTATGTTTTAAAATACAAACTACTTACTATCAGTAGAATAGAAAATAGACTATTCAAAACATATGATCTTCGTATCTATTTGTGATTGGGCACCATAATGCGGAATGTATTGATTTCTTCTTAAAATAAAAAAACTTTATTAACAATCAACTTTTGAAATTATCCGTTCCGTATTGTATGCTGTCCGTTTGCATCATGCTAAAAGATATTTTCTTAGAGCATACGGAAGACTCAACGTTTCCATTCGTTTTTTATCGAATATTTGTTTTTCTATGCTCGATTCTTTCACTTTAGAAAATATTAGCATCAAGATAGTCCTCTGAAGCTGAAGTTTTTTCCCATGGATAATGGAATGTTTACTATGATTATTTTGTCTCTTTGTTTTTGAAAAATATTTCTTAGTGAGCAAACTTTTTTTCTTATCTAATCGAGATCTATAGCAGCTGAAAGTTGCAGATCTGTACGTTTAGCCATTCTCTAACTACTCAAAGAAGTATATCAGAGCTTCATGAAATTTTGATGATATATTGACAATAATGCTAAACGTACATAACCGAAGTTAGGTCGATTCATGTATCCTTCATGAGATACAACAGTGTTCAAGTTCTATTGGACATTTTGTTATCACGTTACATGTAAAACGATTTACGTTGTCTTAAAACTGTAAAATAAATCATGAACTTTATGGTACGATTCTATTGGAGTCAATCTTTTTTCTTTCTAAGAAGTGTAGAATTCTTCCGAAAATTATTTCTACTAGATGATTTGATTAAAATTGTGTCTTTTCTAATATATTTTCACTCGCTAGGGTTTTTTTTATTACAGAAAAATGATGTTTAAAAACTATTATAGTCGCAAACAAATATATCATGTTTTTCGAAAAAGAAAGAGATTAAGTATCGGAATATACTCAAATCTGATCAGCTAAGGTGCATTACGAAACAAAAGTTGTGTGTGCGACGAAGGAAAATCATTTAAGCAGTTTTTTTCTTGTGTATAGGTCATTATGGTTATATTGCTGATGAATATGAACGTCATGTAATATTACGTGGTGTTGACGTTGAAACAGAACAAAGAAATATTCCTGCTGATCAAGATAGGCCCATTGATCCATTATTATATGATGGTCAATGTCCATCTAATATAAATGTTTATCAAGAACCTCCTGTTTGTGAAATAGATTATGGTAAAGGAATGTATAATATCAATGATGAATGGAATAGTCATAATGATTTTGCTCAAATAAGAAGATGGGGGTTTGTTTAATTTATTAATCAAAATGATATTTTCTTTTTTTTTTTGTTCTTTTATAGTTTTAATGTTATTCGATTATGTTTAAGTTGGAGTGCATTAGAACCAACACCTGGAAATTATAGTGAAATGTATTTACAACGTGTCGAACAGGTATTATTATTCTGACACTAAAACTAAAGTTATTTGTTCAACGAATTTAATACTTGTAGATTGTTGAATGGGCATCAGAACAACAAATCTATGTTATACTTGATATGCATGAAGATTTATATTCTCGTTATATATTTGGTGATAAAGAACATGAAATTCCACCTTATTTAACAGCATCCGATGGACAAGATGGTGCTCCTCAATGGGCAGTTATGACTGATGATTGGCCTGCATTAGCGTTTTTTGGTATTGGAAATTTAAATTTAGCAATGATGAAAGCATTTGATAATTTTTATAATAATTCTATACCGCCGAATGCTACACAAGGAAATGCACCTGGACCAGGTTTACAAGATCATTATATTGGAGCTATTGCATTTTTAGCAAAAAAGTTTGTTAATAATAGTGCAGTTTTAGGATATGAGGTAATTATTATTTATTCTGTTTTCATTGAAAATTTAATTACATCTATTTTGGTCCTGGATAGGCACTAATATTGATATTAGAATCGATCGGTTAAACTGACACATGAAGCATTTAGTAGTTTATCAAGCGGTCCTAGTTAGAGACAAAGTATCAGTTCACTGGAATATTATTGAGGCTAGAGAGTATGCAATATAATGTGTTTTCATGCAAAGGTACCCTAAAGTACTCTCTTTAAAAAAGGAGTTGAGTGACATTTTAATGTTCAGTAGTTCAGTTGTAGTATCCGAATTCCTTAGATTTCTAGGACTGATGTTCGGTAACTTCAGGAAGTCTTGAAATCTAATCGAATATATTGAATCAACCATGCCGAATCTGATGGCAATGTCTATTTTTAGATAAGAGTTCCATAACAAAGTAAAAACTAAGTTTAATGAAAATGGAAGTTACAATGCTATTTTCACCTAATATTAAAAATGTTCGGTACTTGCTATTCCTAAACTACTGAAAATGAAGATCTTGTTTGGCTCCTTTTTTTTTATTAGAGCATTGTAGACTATCTTATTATTTTTAAAAACTTTTTGTTTATAAAAATATGCTTTAAGTCTTAGCTACCAAATGCCGAAAATAGCAAATCTCCACCACTTTTTGTTCTCGAGATATTAAAAAAAATACTAAAGTTGTTATCTCATCACTTACTATTGAACATGCATTACCAGTGTTATTAGAACTCTAGTGACGACATATTTTCGGAAATCTTGAACGTTGATACCTTTCAAAAAAAAGTGATCATCGTATATCTAAATATGCTTTAATACTCTCTCTCTCTCTCTGTCATGCAGATGTATACGTACTTTTGTTTTGGCTGTTATAAAGTAATCAAGAACAAATAATTAGTTTGAATTCTTTGTATAATAGGCTACGTAAGGAAAATGCTTTGAATAAATGCGGAAGACTGAATCATTTCAAAAATTTTAGACTTGACAAGCTCTATTGGAAATTCTTCATGATTGACATTATTACGGTTTTTGTTTCGATTTGAAAGACAAGTGTAATACATTCTTTTTGTATTTCGCTTTATACTGTTATTGGTGCCACTTAAACAACAAAGAAAATAAGTATCACATATGTACTAATGAATTACTCTATCGAACAGTTTAATAATTGTATCCTTGCTCTAATTTATGACTCATAGGAAACAGATTTTGAATACTTGTATTGAAGTCATACAGAAATTTTGATCGTACATACTTTTTTTTACTCTAAAACTCATCATGTTTGTATTTCATGTATATCATAAAGACATGAGCTCAGAAAGAAAAGTAAAACATGTTCGTGTCAAAACAAAAATTCAGATATTTTAATAACTGGAACACTGACTCAATTGTTTTACTCTAATTCATCTGTTCCATTAATACTAAGAAAATGAAATCAAACTGAATTTATTTTCTAAATGATATTTATCCCTTAATATTTATTTGCTTGTTAAATAGATTATGAATGAACCACAACCTGGCACATATATTGATCAGTATACTTTTTCTAGTAATTATTTGTATCCATTTTATAAACGTGTTATACAAGCTATAACTGGTGTTCGTGATAATTTACCTGATTGTCCAAAATATGCTCCAACCGGAATAAATTGTTCTTATCCAAATTTAGGAATTAATGATAAACGACATTTATTTTTTGTTGAACCAACATCAGTTCGAAATTTATTAGATTTTACTCCTCAACATTCAATACCATTTTCATCCTATACAAATATCGTTTATGCTCCTCATGTTTATACACATGTATTCACAATTGATAGTATATTACATTTAAATCGATCAATATATCCACCATCATTCGAGTATGTTTTTTGCTAGAATAGAATTTTTACACACAATATCTAAATGGTTAGAGTGTGAACCTTCTCTTTCGCTTACGCCAACTCACACCTAACTTTAAACTCATCTCTATTACTAAAAAAGAAATAACTATCCAATTTGATCGAAATAGAATGGAAACATTTAAATTTTCTAGTGTAAAGTTATTTATGGATCATCCTTTATAAACTATTTCATCAAATAATTGATGTTTGATTCTTTTGTAAACTACTAAAAATATAATGAGTTCAAAATTGAAAAAAAGAAAGCTGTGGAATCCAGGCTTTCTGTAAATTAATTTACTATTTTTCTGCGTATCTCGAGTAGAAAATTTCTACAAATTTTTGTGTCATACAAGAATATGCATGAAACGTGAAAAAAATACATTTTATTGAGCTCGTAAATAATGAAACAAAGTAGTACTTGTCACTAATATCGATGTAATTAGAAATTTTAACAAATTCAGAAGGTTTACGTCCGCTTTACCTGAACTTTTTTTTTCTAATCAAAACTAATATAGTTGATACTCATGCATTGTAGGTGATTTTTCGAAATAATTTAGCTTCCATAAGAAAATATTGAAAATTCTTTATAATGTGTATTAAGTTCAGACAGCAAATGCAAACTTATGTTGAGTTTACTGCATCGTCTAATAATGATCGATTGAATTTGATCATAAAGAAGTAGGATAGATATAGTTCGACGCATAGAGCAAAAGTTGTTGTAGACTCCAAATTCTCCAATTTTTTTTCAACTAAAGTAATAGAAAACTGACGATGTTAGACAATCATGAACTTACTCAACTCAAAAATATAGAAAGAGTCATTTGTTTTATGTGTCACCTATTCATAAACATTTGAAACAATAAATATAAAATGATTTTCACTATTATTCTAGTTATGCGTATGAGACAGCATTAAATGAATCTATTGGTTTACAAAGTGCAATTCTAGTTACAGAATTTGGTTGTGGTACAGATGCAGATGAAACATTATTAATTCCAACGATAGATTCACAAGATAAAGCAATGATATCAGCGACCATATGGCCATGGAAAAATAATTGTTTTCAAAAAGGTTGCGAGACAAGTTGGAGTTTATATGATTCAGGTACACTAAATGGTACAATTGCAAATCAAAATGGTCCTGAACGTCCAAATCGTGTTCGAATATTATCTCGTGTACATCCACGCGGTGTTATTGGACAATTAAAACAATATTTTTACAATACAACAACATCATCATTTATAATGACTGTTAATTGTATTAATAAAACATTATTATTATTAAATAATGAAACAATTGTTTATATACCAAGACGATTAAATAATTCAGTAATCAATGTTACTGGTGAAGCAACATTAAATAAAATAATTAAAAATCCAGATCAAAGTCGTTTAATTATTATTAATCCAACATGTAATGGACAATATCGTGTATTTGTTGCAAATAATACAAATCAAATTGATAAATTATATCAACAAACAGTCATAAATAATAATTCTAATAGTAAATCAAATAATCATCATGAAACAATACAATCAATGCAAGAAGCCTATGAATTATATCAACTCTTACATACTGCTGCTGTCAAAACCGGTGAAACATTTGTTGCAACATCTTCCAATTTTGTGAACAAGGTAAATATATCAATAATTTTCTAATGTTTTCTTAGTTCAAATAGATGAAAATAGATTTTAGAGAATTTCTTTAAGGAAAATTTAATGTATTATGATAGTCAAGCATATATATATTGCAAAATAACAGTAAAAAAATGTTCGAAGCTTCGGTTTTAAATCCGACAGTTATGAAAGCAGGAATACACTGTCGTCTCTCTTTACTGTCTAAGCAGTACATACATTTGAGACTGAATATATAACAAATAATTATTAAATCATTACGAACATAAGCCAACTGATGATAAGAAAAAAAAGGTCCCCCACGGTCGATGAATTTCTGATTAGCAAACTTAGTTTTTCTCTATTAAATCATCAATCCGAAAAATGGTAGTCGGTAAGTACAATAGAGAATTTTATGGAACACTTGCATTTGTAATATACTGTTTGTTTGAATTCTTTGATCAGCTTTATATTTCTGTTACTTCTTTTCGAATAATTTTGAAGTTCTGTTCTAAAGCAGCCGAGTCTTGTAATTTGAGCTTAAACTAATATTTCACTTAAACCTCATACAATACAGAAAATATTTCCAAAAAGTCGATGTTTTTTGTTTATGTTAAAATTGTTTTGAGATTATTTTGTCATAATTTTCTCTAATATAAATCAATGTTGGAAAACAGGTTTTTGAAAAGAAAGCCGACAACAATCTCTATCTGAACATACAATAATAAGTCTAAAGTTTTGGTAGAAATCCTAAGGATATAGAAAATTTCCGAAGATATTTTCTGTCATCACTTTAATGTTATATTTCGGGAATTATAGACTTAGCTGACTTCCTCTTGTGACCGAAATGATGCATCAGAGTTAGAGTAACTCATTCATAAAAAAAAAAAGATTTCGTCCTCGACTTTTTTTACGTGAAACTGTTGAAACTTTTCTGTTAGAAAAAAAACTTGTTTTTAGACTGAACATCCCATCATCTACTCCATTACATTTTAGTTATAATCAAACTTACGTTTATGATCTAAAAATCGAAGATTAAACCTGCTTTTCCTCGTTGATAATTAACATTTTTTCATCAAAATGTTCCATCACATCGACTGTAATCGATCATGCTCTTTGTTAAGTTAACATTCGTAAATATATATCGAGTGATCGAAGCAAACTTTTTTCCTTTTTCGAGACTCAATATTGAAAGAAAATGTTTTGAGTCTGTTGAGCTATTATTATTGTCTTCATACAAGACCGAAATCTTACGATTTATTCTGTAAAGTCGACGAATCCTTATAACTCCTTTGAAAAAAAATTGAGCACTTAAAACCTTCAACTAACCGATGTAACTCGATAAAAATAACAACATTTGAATAAAAACTATAAAATTCATAGATGAAGAAGAATATCAGTTCGTTTTGTTTCTTTTTAGAATTTCCTCCGAATTAGTGATGTACTATACAGATAACCTTTTATTCGAATAGAGATGCAAGATGATTTTAAAAATAAATGTTTCGAAAATGAGAATAATTTATTTCGTATGATTCTAAAAAAAACAAATTCATATAGACTAATAATTATGTTTGTTTGTTTAATTTAGTTTACAGCACTACAGAATGCTGTGGAAATCAATATAAAAAATATAATGCCGCTATTGAATAAATTTCGTAAGCAAGCTTAAAAATTGTTATTATTATTTTAATTCTCTGATGAAACACTTGATTTATTTTCAATGTGCCGATTCTTCTGCGAACATTTACTCCAACTAATACCGTACTCTATCTTTGCATCCTCATTCTCTGTTATTGTCTAGTAAATTTCCAGTGCTCAATCAATAAATCAAGTGGACAATTGGAGTTTCAATTCAGTTAAAGTGTTTTCATAAAAGAGTCATACTAAAGCATGTGTTCTGTCGTTCTATGTCTAACTGATTCTATTTTTTTTAAATTTTATGGTGTTTTTTTATTTGAGAATTTTTAAATGTACCTTATAAGGTGCAGAGTTTTCTTCGAAGATCAATTGTGAATAAAATATAAAACAATGAGAGGCTCATTAATTTTGATCCACTAGTTATGCATAACAATGTAAAACAGCTACATCAAAAGTGTTATGAGCTTAAAATTAATAACATTTGTGATGAATATTACTGGCATATTGCGTTTGAGCACAAAAAGAAACCATCTACACTTTCGATTTGATTACTCATTTTTTTATCACATTAATATTATATTGGAAAGACATCAGACAGAGAAAGTGTCGTGACATGTTGTTGATCAATAAAAGATATTACCTAGTTGATTGAGTGATATAACAAAATAACAAAACATATGGCTATCACATCATTGATTTAGAATAAATATATTGCTCTAACTGTCTCAGTCATTAATACTGTAAAGAAACATGCACACGCGACATCAAGAAACGTTAACTGACATTAATTCTGCTTCTGTTCTTAACTCGGAAGAAGATAAGTATCATTCGGTTAGATACCGTCAATCCGTATACTGTGGCTTAACGATAAAAGATTGGTTTCAATTGTTCGGTTCGTTTCTTCTCCCACTTCTTCTTGCAATATTCACAGTGGTAATCACCTTTGAACAACGAAAGGAATCAAAGATTCAACGTTTAGAAGATCGTATTCTGGCTCGTGAACAACGCGAACAAGATTTGAATGTTTCCACATTGCAACGAGAGAATGACAAAGAAATAGCCGAAGGAAGACGTATGACAGATAATTTGAACGCAGAACAACAACGAAATATGTCTCTCGAGCAACGACAACATGAACTCGCTATTGAACAGCAACGATACGACAAACAACAAGAACAACGTTCAGAAGATATTAAACTGACGACTGAACAGCGCATGCAAGATCTAAAATTAGCTGAACAGCAACGTGAAAATGATCGAATGATTGCTGAACGTAAGCAAGCAGCTGATGATCTCAATGCAGAAAAGGAGAGAAATGTTTCACGTGAAATCGAAGAATATCGATATGAACAAGCAAAAAACAAGGATCTAGATGCTCTGCTTCTATCACATATCAATGACATGGGCACTCTACTCGAAAACTACAATGGTTCACTGACAGCAAATCCAACGATTGCCGCACTCGCTCGAGCTAAAACACTCCATGTCATCCGTTCTATTGGACCTGAACGGTCGACACGACTACTTCAATTCTTATTCGATGCTGGTCAACTTTCATATGACCAACAAACACCACTCGATCTATCCGGTGCGATACTTAATCGTATTGATCTCAGCATGAATAACGACATTATTTCTATGAGACATGTTAATTTTGCTGGTGTTCATATGAATGAGGCAACATTTGCTGGACAGGATCTTTCAAATTGGAATTTTACAGGTGCTTCACTCAATTATGCTAATTTTACACGAACTAATTGTAAAGGTACAATATTCGACGATTCATCGATGATCCAAACCGATTTCTCATATAGTTTGTTGGACGATGCATCATTTCGGCGTTCCCAACTTGCTGGTGCCTCTTTTATAAATTCAAGTGGCGAACGATGCACCTTTTATTCTGCCACACTGCCCAACTCAACATTCTATCAAGCTAAAATGGGTTTTTATAATTTTCAGAGCGTTGATTTGACTCAAGCTAACCTGGAAGAAGCGTATATGTCTGGCAGTACGTTAGCATTTGCTACTCTTGTCAATGCTCAGATGAACGGCATCTATGTCCTCTTTGCCAATTTATCGTATGCCAATATGTTCGGAGCCATATGTTCGGAAGATAGATGCCATTTACATGATGCTCTTTCGCTTTTAAATGCTATTCTACCGAATGGAACAAATGGAACTAACGGTCATCGACCTATGTCTCTTCTTCAAAATGGTTATGCCAAGTGCAATAGTGGAGGACACAAAGAGGATCATCTCGCTGCTTGGTCGATGCCCGGCGATCCTATATCTACAAAAACTGACTATCATAGCGAGAATTTGTGTGTCTTTACTCCAAAAAAAGGTGGTCTTTCTCAAGACACGAATATGACACAACGAGTGAATATCACTATGTACGATCGGCTCATAAAAAATGGACATGCAGTAGTTTCACTCAAAGCGTATCGTGGTCAATTTACTGGAATCGAGATGAGAGAAATCGACGGAACCGGTAAGGTCTCACCCGTGCTTCCTAGTAAGCGAATAATTCCAGCTCCAGAGATAACCATTTGGGAAACACATTTATACAGAACAACTGTCCAAATTGAGATCAAATTAATGTTTCAAGTTAGTCGAACATGGGCATATGCATGGTTTCAGTATGCTGACTTAACTATTCATCTATGGTTACCATAATCGATGACGAAAATTTTATTTTCTTCAATTAAGAGTTCATTCAATTTCATGATAAAGTGTCCCATTTTTCAGCATCTTCAATCGCTTGAAGCAATAATACCATTTAGGTCATTTCTTCATTCTAAATTTTGAAACTCAAAAAAATTCACACATAAAAGCGATTACATCTCGTTCGAGACTGGATGTGAGTGTGTGTGGGTCAGACTTGTCGAATCTAGATTTCAAAAATCAGGAGTTGACAACGACTTTTGACTGAAAAGCCAAGAAGCTATGCAACTATAGTGTTTCGAAGAAAACTGAAATTTTCACTTACATAAGCGATAAATATTTGTTCTGTCAAGTTAGTGGTGGCCAAATCTTTCTCTGAGTGTTATATGAAAGAAACAAAGATAATCGCATGCATTCTATATTACTACTAGTCATTTCGCAGTCAATCATAGAAAATGTAGGAATACCATAGAAAATTAAATTTATTTAGAAAGTGATACAAACGTATACATCTTTTGACTTCAGCTGATTTTACATATTCTTGAAGGTTTTTTTGTTTCTACATTATTATACATATCAGTTATTTTCAATTATATAACCTATAACGCGAAAGTCTCGGCACAAAATAATTGTTCAATTTTCTACATACTAGATGTCGCTCTAGAAAAGGAAAGATAGTCAGATAGAGTCAGAATTATTTTTTGAGTTAAGCCTGTTAACTAGAAGCAAATACTTGCATGGGCTCAAAAGAATCGTCTGTATAAATACTAAGTTGAAACGGTTTGGTACAAATGTTTACTCATTTTTGGATACTTAAGCATCATTGACGGATAGCAAAAATAGCCAGTTAGAGTCCAACTTTTATGCTCTTTCCAAACATGTGATCGAAATTGTTTTCTAACTTAATGGTATTTAACTATGAACAAATGACTGCATAAACCAAAACTGGCGTTTATACCAAATAAAATAGACTTGAGTGGGTGTGGATGTGTATAGCACTTCTTCAGTCGTATTCACATCCACACTCACACCGAAAGATCAAAATAATTTTATTTTAATGATTATTTTTGATAACTTAATCAAACTAATTTTGTAACTTTGATGAAATTTAAAAACTCGATAAGTTTTCAAAGATTTTCATTAGATGAATTTTATAAATTCAAAATAATCAAATTCATTACATTATTTCGATTATTTTCACATCAATTTCATTGAGTGGCTTTGGTGTAAAACTCATCATTATTTTAAATTATTTTTTTCTTTCTGAGTTGCTTGAAAATTTTTTTTTTATTTCTTAATGTAGCTCTTATGTAAAGGTTATCGAACTGTTTTTACTGTCAATTGATAATTCTTTACAAGCTCTATTCGACATTGCAAAATGAAGTACGTAAAAATGCCTATGTAACCTTCCGCATAGTCTTTGAAATTTTTGACGTTGACGAATTGAAATAAGAAAACACATTTTTAGTTTTCTTTTCGCCACGCAATTCGTTACAGGTAAGTCGTCACTTTTCCCCTAAACTGATCGTTTAGATATTCTTCTATGTATAGTTTTTCTCGTATTACTTGAAAAATTTTTTGGGTGAATTTCTTTATGAGAATTTCATCTACATTTTCGCATTTTCCATGATAGCATCTAATGTTTTGCGCATTATTCAATGATGGGGTGTGAGTATGAGTGATCACAAGGTGGATATCCACACCTGACACTCACACCCACATTCTTATTGTTTATTAAAAAATTAAGCATCTTTATAGTTTGAAATGTCTATTTATAATAAACAATTGAACACATCAATTAGTATAATTGTCTTTGTCTTGAATAGTAATTTTATTTGACTAAAAAATTTTCTGCTTGATGGATATAAATAACTAATTTCAATTCGGCTTATCTGACAGTAAGTATAAACAAAGGTTCTTGCTCGTACTAGTAAATATTTGAAGAATGTTTTTCACTTAGCATAAACCAAGAATATATCATTTTTGATAAATTCAATGATGTTGAAATTAATTTTATTATTCTAATTAATAGAAAAATTCATTTAAATGATTTATGAATATTATTTCTTGATTATTTATTTCATATAATTTTTTTTTCCAAAAAAAGAAATAATTATATCAACGGTCAAGCGCATTTCAGAATTACAAAACAAACTCATTACAATTCACAATATAATTTCTTCACCTTTATCTTTTTTTTAGAAATAAGTTAATTGATTATTTATATAAAAGACCAAAACAAAAAAAATAATAATATTAGGAAAAAAAAAAAAAAAAAAGAAATATGATTGTATAATTTAATATAGGATTTTTTTTCTTAATCATAAGTTGTCTCTGTTTATGAAGATATATATTTATTACGAGAAGCATGTGGATCAGTCATGAATGTTCTCATGTATGATCGATGTATCTCACGCAATTCATCACATAGACGCATACGTATTTTGGCATCATTGGCTAAATTTTGACTTAAATGGTTTTCAATAAGTGGACGAATTTGAGTTCCACTTGGACGACGATTAAATGATGTATAAGATTTATCACAAAGAAATTCACATAGTGCTGGATAAAGAGGAATGTTAAGTAAATAAGATCTAGCATTGTTATTTTTTTTAGCTTTTTGTCGAATAATATCTTGTAAAATTACTGGTAAACAAGTTGTTTCATCATCTTCCTCTTCATTTGCATAAACATCTTTATCAACTAGAAGAAAAATCTATATATATATTACATATAATAAAATTTGAGGAATTTATGAAAGTTTCCTTCGAACTTTCTTCAATATCTAAGATGTTAGTTATTGAAATATTAGTTAGACTGAAACAATTACAATATTTACACATGATTAATTAGAACTTGTTGAATTTTACAAAAATCTCTTAGAATATTTCAATTGACAAGAATTATATAATGGAAACAAATTCGACTTTTTTTTTTCAATTATATCTTCTCTTGTAGAAGCTCGAAAAGATTACTTTTAGATTTAGCATGCAAAGCAACGTTGAGAAACATGAATTTGAAATTGTTCTAGCATAATATGATAAGAAATGCATTTATATTTTGTTTGACTTTTCTCTTCTGAAAAAATGATGTCAAATTTAGAAGGACTAAAACGATTTTTGGAAAGGCACCGTCTGGTTATGGATTTACCGAGGAGACACTGTAAGAAGATTAATTTTTCTGTCTGAGATTTTAAAAACCTTTTCTCTACAGAAAATGTCCAAATATGAGCCGATACAATATCTAATGGATTTCAAAACACATTTTATGACCATGATCACTCCTCTTTCACGAAATCTGAAACCTATCATTTGGTGCCATTCGAAGCTGTTTAAAACACAGAAACGTGTTAGATCTCAGTTCTCTTATAGTTCTAATGAGATCACTATGACTGAATAGTTACATTTTAATAAACAGTTGCTCTTGTCGTTAATTAATGGTTATCAAAAGCTCGAAACTTTTGCATTAGTCTAACCTCCTTTTCAGACCGATATCAGTCTACTGAATGTATCACTAGGCACTACAAAATATCGAAATGTAGTCGAAAAACACGTATAGTCTTTTTCTTTTTCTTTACAGTTTCAATATGCGCAATGGTTTTGTAGACTTAGACATGTATCTTTGTTCATGTCTTCATTTATGATGGATTGTGAAAGTGAAACATATTATTAATTGAGTGTTATGATAATTTTAAAAAATATGAAATTGTTATGAATTCCTGTCAGTCCTAGCGATAGGTTGTATGTTCTAGAGAGATTTTTCTTTTTTTTTTTCAAGGTAGAGTTTTCATGGAAGAGAGAAGAGAAAAAATTTGATTAACATACAGCTAATTGACTTCAAAAGGAAGTCAGTTTTCTAATTTTTAAGATAGACTTCATTCGATTTCAACCTTTTTTATTCAAAAACAAAAAGAAAACAACTGTTTTTCTTCTAATTTTTATATAAATTATAGATCTTACAGTTAGTAAAAATTGGCAAGCTTTATTATGTAAATGTTTGGAAACTTTTAAATAAAAGTTAAATAATTATTCGATTCCATAACATTCTTCATCTACATACAAAATTGAATGAAATATGTAAGATGAATGTCACTGAAGTAAAACAATATAACTAACGAGGGAACGTTTTCAATTATCAAATTCCTTTTGAGTTCGAATTTTGTGCATAAGATAGATTCCCTTAGGTCTTCTATCCAGACGTATAGGTATTTTACTGAAACTTTAGCCTAGGACATGGTATATATGAACAGATCGAAATACTGCCATTCGATTTGTTCGTATATACCGTGCCCTAGGCTAAAATTTCAGTAAAATATCTATACGTCTGGATAGAAGACCTAAGGGGATTTAATTTTTTGGAATTTTTCATACCGCACTGGAGTCTATCTTATGTACAAAGTTCGAATTCAAAAGGAATTTGACAATTGAAAACGTTCTTTCGTAAGTTTCGTGGCCGATTGGATTCTTTGAAACTAATCAGCAATCATTTTGATTAGTGAAAACTTTTTGTTAACAAATAAATTACAATATTCTAATAAAAGATTGCAATAATTCGTGAATTTGATCTTGTAGAAATCCTTTCTGTTGAAGATATATATACTTTTAATAGTGCTATTCTGTGTGGGAGTTGAGCTGGACTAGCCTATCAACGAATGGCCTGATATCTACTCCTTAATTGTTAGATAATCATCATCAAATTATATTTAAATCGTCTTTAATTTACATTTCTACATACGGTTTTATATGCTCTATCTAAAAGTCATCTTTTCAACATTCAACAATAATAATTATATAAGTCATTAAATATTCTCTTCATTGAATAAGATTTCTATTACATTTTCATTTAATTCTTCTTAATAAAAAAATCGATGGCGAACGAATTACATCAAAGAACTAGCGTTTTAATAGTTTCTAAAAAGTTCGAAAAATCAATACACAAATAAATTATTAATTCTTCTAAAAGACTTTGATGCATATTAATCTGAATTAGCATACTGGACCAACTCTGTACGATAAAATATTCTCAAATCTTAGTTTTGCTTCTGCCTTGAGACTAGAGATGTGCAGAATTAAAGTTTTTGATCTCATTTCTACTTATGTTTTTTTCGAGTAGTTCGTAATTAAGCCTCGATAGATCTAACCTAGTCTCGGTTCTAGAGTTTTTAGTTTTTCAGAATGCCTATCTGCAGAAAACTGTTTCAGGATTTGTTCTTAAGTTTCAATTGAGAAAAATTTATTTCATAATTCTGTTCTCAATTTAAGCCGCTTCTTTTTTTTTGCACTTCTTGGAAATTTCCAACTTACAATCTGAGTCCTGTAGCCCACTAGTCAAGATCATGTGTGCAATGTATATCTTAATATTCTATGAGTGCCTAAGAAAGGCCCGATTTTTACAACTTTCTTCTGATGAGATATCGAATTCTGTCTACATCTACATTCCAAGTGACTTAGCTTGTCAAAACAATTTCGGAATATTTCAACTTTTATATCTTGTAGATAATATGTTCGAAAATGTTTATACAGGCTAATCTCATTGAGTTATTTATGTCAATGAAATCTTTCTAAGTCATTCATAATTCATTGGAACCTGTATAGTCTATAGTATCGACGCAAAATCATAATAATACATGTACATATCCTCTTGTTAAGTGCAAGGTGGGAAATAATATTATTCCAGAGGGATAGCGCTATAATTTCAAACAGAAGACATAATGAATTTTATATCAAATGAAAGCTCGTCAAAAATGGGGTTCATTGATACTAAATAGTGAGAATCGTGAACATTTTTTAATGTCAAACTAAAGAAGCATTTAGAAATTTGATACATTTTTGGAGCTGGGAAACTAAGATGAAATTAATTGAAAAATAGAATAAAATTGTTTTTCTTGGATATTTTTACATAGTTCGATAGAGCTCCTCGAGCTCTATAAAACTGTATATATTTAAAACTTTTTAGGTCACTTTTTTGCGATAAAAAATTCACAAAACTAGTGGAAAAATGTTTTAAAAAAAAGCTAACTTTATTGAAAAACCGAGTGTTTCTCTTTCATCTCAAAAAACTGACTTAAAAAGTTTTAAATATATACAGTTTTATAGAGCTCGACGAGCTCTATCGAACTATGTAAAAATATCCAAGAAAAACAATTTTATTCTATTTTTCAATTAAAGTCATCTAAGTTTTCCAACTCCCAAAAATGTATCAAATTTCTAAATACTTCTTAAGTTTGACATTAAAAGATGTTCACAATTCTCACTATTTAGTATCAATGAACTCTACTTTTGACGAGCTTTCATTTGATATAAAATTTATTATATTTTCTATTTGAAATTATAGCGCTACTCCCCCTTGAATAATATTAGTTCCCACCCTGTACTTTTAGAAATCAAAATAAAACAAACAAATGTTTTCTCTTGTTTGATAAAATCATTACCTTCTTCTTGAATTTCATGTTCTGATTGATTATCATCTTTTGTTGTTTCATTTTCATTTTGATCCATCGCTATGAATAGTCTATCTTCATTGTCTCCATCCTTCATACTATCACTATCATTGATATTATTACCATCGTTGTCTTTATGACAATCATTGTCATTACTATCACACGTTGTTTCTAATCAAAAGTGATCGGTTTTTTTTTCGTTTTTAAATATTGTTGAAACTTTACTAGTAAATCGACTGTCATTACCTTCAAAATTTTCTGTATCTTCAATATCGGATATAATATAAGCTATAAAAAAAACAATCTTTGAAAAAAGATACCAATAAACTAAAAAATTAAATTAAACTAACGATTTTTGTTCTTTCTACTTTGTTTTCTTAAAGAATGTGTGGTCAGAAATGATGTAGAAGGTTTTTGTTTTGATTGATATTCTTGATCCTCTGCAATAATAATGAAACTTTCATTGTCGTCATCATTATGATAATCTTCTTCTTCTTCTTCTTTTCTAGCTTGTTGTACATCTTCATTTGATGGAATAATACATTTACAACCTGGACAATGATATTGACTTAATTGTTTTTTTAATTTTTTATTAACTGCTATTAACTGTTTATATTTTCGATAGATTTTATTGGCATATGTTTCATTGATTTCATTAGAAGCATTGATTATTTCGTCAGTTAATTCATAAAGTTCTGCAACACGTTTTCGGGCTTTTATGTCGATTGCTATGGAAGGTAAAAAAAAGAATAGATAGATATATATATATATACGTGTGTATATAGAAAGAAATATGATTCCCACCCGAATCGGACATAGGATATAATCTTGTTGTACTCGTATGTTTCTTCGTCATGTGTTGTTGGAACTGAATGAATACAAAACAACAAACTAGCTTCCAAGTTTTATTTTGATTAATAGATGTCGCTGTTAATTATTCTAAAACTAAAAATGATTTATTTGAAAATATAAAGAAAAAAAAATTTTCTTTTTTAAAATAAATATGTACTAATTTACATTTAATTTCTTGTCAAATAATCTGTTGATATGACAACCAACTAATCAATGAAACGATATTTTATAGTTGTCTTTTATACATAAAGTATCAAAGCTCTATCATCACCATATTGATATTATACAAATGATAATGATTTAATTTTTATTGGATTAAATGATAAATTTTCGTTGTCATCACTTTAGCGATTAAGAAAATCATTTAAAAATTATCCTCGCCTTACAAAATCACAAAACTATATCGTTTTAAAAATGAACTAAAAAACTTGAAAATAGTGCTATTTATCACTTAAGAAATCCTATTATAATTAAATCAGATAGAATAAGAAATTTTCATAATTTTTTTTTCGAATATAAGAGAATTCATTGATTAAAATTATTACTTCTAGATTGATTATAAACATTAAACAGTACATAGAATTTCAGGGTGGCGGAAAAAAGTCATGTTTTGTAATAAACTTCGAAAGCTAATGTTTAGTGAAAATCGACATACAGAATATCGAATCAAAAACGTTTGCAACTTGTTATTGATTAATATAGATTTCACAATAAGCTCAAAATGGAATGTGTTTCTACTATTAGGTAGATAGCAAAAAATCAAGATTCAATAGTTCTAAGAAAAATAGGTGATTATATAACTACTAACGACAAGATTACTGGAAATCGTATTTTTGATAGATATTTTCATTAATAGTCAATCATGAAAAATATAAGTTTTTCAGAAAATTTTTTCATCTGTAGAACTTTGTAGAGCTCGTTTCGCTGATTACTTTAGTGAAAAAAAATATTCAATTTTGCTCAGTAAATAAGAGCGTTAGAATTAAAGTACTCAAAACTTTCGCCTGTTTATGACTGTTGTTAAGTAGCAAGTGATATTTTTGAGTATTTTGATCCAAGCTTCGTTATTTACTAAGTAAAATTGAATATTTTTTCCACTAAAGTGATCAGCGAAACGAGCTCTACAAAGTCCTATAGACGAAAAAATGTTCTGAAAAACTTATATTGTTCATGATTCACTATTGATGAAAATATCTATCAAAAATACGATTTGAAGTAATTTTATCGTTAGTAGTAATGAAAGATGTCGAAAGCACATATATTATTTCGAAATTGGTTATTATGGGCTGTGGATGTGGAAGGGGTTAGAATCTTTGGTGTCGATGTAGAAGGGTTTGGACGGCTGACGTGCTTGTGGATAAGTGCGATCTTCTATATCACACTCACATCATTAAGCTCAAAAAAATCAATATGATATGGATGCTCTCGAACCGAACTAAATGATCATTTTGAAAACTCGGAGCGGGGTGTGAAGTGCGGGTGCCCGTGTAGATATTCTATAAATGTTAGGCCAAATCCACACGCACAGGCACAACCAAATCTCACAGCCATAAGCATACCCACACCCTAGGTGAAGCGAAAGAGTGGACATACCCGAAAACATACGCAAGGTATCGCACCTTGAATTCGTTCTGTCAGCCGACGAACACACAGAATAACACCGACACACATGACATCGTAATTGCTTCGAGTTCGGCGAAAGGGTGTACACGTTAAACCTGAAAGTTGAATTCAACTATTTCATTATTGAATATCTGTACTGTAGCTATTGAATTATTGGATACCCTGCATATTTGACAAGTTTTGAACAATATAATTCAACCTTCAGGATTGACTCTAATCGAACGTGGATAAGACCACAGGTGACCATTGCTACTTTGCGTCTCAGTGTGAGTTTGTCTGTGCGTGTGCGTGACACTGTCGCTATGGCTCCGCACTAGCGGTTTGGATCCGGACCACGGTTTGCATATTCATGATTGCGTGGGTCAGATATGAAGCTGCCTGTGACTGAGGATAGAATTGTTGGTAACTGTGCACGTTTATGGATTGACGTTGGTATAGTTATGAGTCAGGGAGTCAGTCTGAGTTTGGCTACCCAGATGTGACATCGATCTCAGTCTAGTCAAAAATTTCGACATCGGAAGTTGGTTACTCCGAAGCCATGGATCAGTATGGGTGAACCTATTTGTATGGAAACATCTGTGTGCTAGACCGAAGGCACGACTCGTATTTCCTGTGCAGCTATGACTGTGCCTCTACGCTGTATCTTTATGGAACTTTCCAGGTACTCTCGAGATGTGACCGTATGATCAATCCCCGAGCATCCTCAACATTTTGTATATATGCACATCCAGTTTTTGGTATCCATCCGTTACACCAATTTTCCTCATGTTTTAAGGATATATCGATGACTAAGAATGTCGATACCCGAGTTTCGGATATTATGACATCCCTCAAAAAAAAATCAAATCTACTCTTATAAGCTGACTATCGCCAGGACGTGATCCAATAAAAGTAATACCATTATCGAAATAAGTTAAATATTCACACATTGATATTTCATCAAGAAGGTCCAACTAAAAAATAATGTTTAGAAAAATAAATAACTGTGTTTATTGTTTACTTTCATATCAGTTATGATTGCTGATGAACTTTCATTAGGTTTATCACGTTTAAGTACAAGTAAATAAAGTTTACCAAAATAATCAGTTAATAAATATCAACAACCATCTTCAACAATAGGCCAATAATTTACTATAGAAGCTTCATTCTATAATAAAAAGCAAAGAACACCTTTAAAATAAGATTTTATTAATTATGACCATTGTTGAAACACACGAAATGTTAACAATGTAAAGATGTGTAGTTTGAATATTCTAATTACTGATAAACTCACGCTGACGTCCACTGACTAAGCTATCATTAATATCCACTGAAACATTAACTAAATTGAATTATCTGATATATTTCATCTGTATGAATATTTCAATGTAACAGTGGACTCAGCTTTAGTAGTGTCACTGTGTTCATCATCACTGCACATCCCTACGGCAATGTGTATTTATCAGTCTCGGCAGACTTCTTTCATTCTCTTAGAATTAACTTGAGGATAGGTGTGGGTGAGGATCTTCTCTTCGCTCTCGCACTCATACTCTTGAATTGATTTTTAGGCCCAATCAGATCTATAGAAGGCTCGTGTAAACACTTTAACTCATACAAACATAGAGTGGAATTTGTCAAACACTTTCGTATCGTCAGATAAACGATTTTACTATTGAGATAAATCAAGGATGCTTTTCTATCAAGTTGAAAAGTGAAATATACTGATAAAATCCATTCTTCTTAAATTAGCAGTTAGAAACGAAAAATATCGGCGTGCTTCACTTTTTATATAAAAGTTAGTGCAATAGAACTGCGGTCAACTCTGCTCAATTTCAAACATTTACTTAGACTCTAAAGTAGCCCGCCGAAAACTGATAGTATTTGAAGAAAAAATTTGAGCAAATTCAGTTGAATTGCGACGGAGCAAGGCTAGATGAGTTTTCAATTAAATCCCCGAATTTCTCCTGCTCATAAGTTTTATAATGAAAACACTCGTAAAAGAAAGATATATACTGATTAATTGAGTTGAATTCTTATAGGGAATATCTCGTCGCTGTCAGGTTTAATCTTCTTAACAAGTTCATAGAGTTAGTTTAGATATTAGTTAGAACAAAATATATCACTACAGTTAGTCTGTTTATTTGTTTAAAGAAATGCTCAGCCATAATTTTCGTGAATATCGATCGATATCAGATTAATTCGTCGGTTTCTCATCTTTCTTCCAAATAATTTATAACAAATCATAATTATCCGTTAGTATTTTCAATTGATGGTCATTAGAGAAATAGATTTTAGCCACTGTAATGTCAAACTCAGTATAATAAAATCAAGATTGACAACTTTTTGAATGAAATAAATGAGTTTAATGCGTTGAGTAGATTTTCTATTTGTCAATAGTTTCAAATCTTGTGCAAAAAAAAAGTATATAAATTGATTATTTTAAAAACTGATTAGATGAATAGGATGTGGATACACAATGCTTATCATCATTAAAAGTAAGATTGAAGAAAACTGAAAAATATTTATGCATTTATTGTCGAACATTTATCTGAATGAATATTTTTAAGAACATTTCATTGTTTAAGATTGAATGAATATGTTATACAGACAAAATTGGGCGACGAAAAAAACTAATATCGGGACCAGGAAAGGCGAGGGGGGGGGGTAGGAATAGGAAACAAAAAAGTCACCCAGTTTCGATCTCTTGTCCTTGTCGATTGACTCGATGATAACAAAGTATTGACAATGTGGCACACATAATAATAATTTTAAGCTACATAGATAGAAAAGTGATTAAATCAAGACAAATGATATTTCAGAGTTCACACTTGATTATAACATGGATAGTACTGCTCGACACTTAACGACAACTATGTTGTTCTGCTCTGAAGATTACGGATACGAGCTGTAAATGATTAAATTCGCAACGTATGGAAGCCATCATTTGGTATTGTGATTCATCGAAGAACGCTCGAGAAAAGTACACAATAGCTTTCTCTGAGTAACAAATATTCTAATACTCATCTGTCATAAAACGCTTAGTACTTCGACAGATTTTTATGGAACTATAATTCAAAATGACTTGAACATGTCATCAATCAATTACAATAAGATAGAAAGACTGTTGATGTAGTCAACGTGTAATTAGAAAAAATATTTTTAACTAATACTTTATTAAACATTAAATTGAACATGATAAGAGTTTATTTATTATAACTAATCCTAAAGAAGCATGAAATGTGACATTTTTAAAGCGATGCTTAAAGTAATTCCAACAAAACAGCTACTAATAGTATTAATGATCTAGAAAACAATCCTTACTTTTCTTTTTTTTCTAGTAGTTAAAACAAATAAGAATTCTTTGCTCTTCAAAAGATAAATATATAAATATAACAGACTAATATTTCGTTACATTATAGTATTTGCTATATAAAAATTTATTATTCTTTGCGTAAAATTGTTTCATTTTTGTGATCTGGTGTCTATTTAATAGTGTGTTCGTTTTAGTATTACTGAATTGAAGAATAAACTATATTTGATGTTTAAATTTATTTACTTTTTATATGAATTTTTTGTGTATTCTATAAAAGCTGGTCAACATTCAATGGTTAATACATTAATTTTATTGAGGATATTTAAAATAATTTAATGAATTTTTTTAAAGATATTGCTGAGAAAAAAAAAAGTTTCATCTTATATCTTATTGTGCTATTTATGCGTTTTTTCTTTTAGATTATTTTAATACAGCGAACATCTGTGTGACAGTTAACTTCTGGAACAATTTTCATAGTTTCTTATTTAACGCTTCAGGTAATTTATGAGTTACTAATTCTAGAAACGGATAGACTTCAATATGAATAGTGCGTGTCAAGGAAATACATTCTTTTCTTTATATCAGTTCGAGTTTTTTCGAAAAAAAAAATGAAAACTTATGCGCTTTAAACATTTTTCGATGATATGTTAAATTAACTTTGAAAACAGTAGACAATTATTGGATAAAAATATTTCTCTTCACACACTCGATGCGATTCTATTTGATTAGAGAGTAGCTCTAACAGATTCATTTTCTTATGCATTCATCTTAAGAAAAATGCACTCATTGACCCTTTTCATTCTATGCTGGCTTGTTCTTTTCTCTTTTTTGTTTGTAACATTACATCGATAGCTCCCTTTCTCAATGGACTCTATAATTTCTCAACTTTGTTGTTCTCTTTCTCTTACGTATTGCGTAGTTGGAATGAGATAGAAGAGGTGGAATTTTGACTTCTTTTGCTCTTGTCTTCTTTTCTTTGTCGTCTCTTTGACTCAATTCTCTCGTGCGTATTAAAAGCACTGTTGTTCTTTAAAAAAGGGAAAGAAGAAGAGAGAAGATAGAGAGAGAAATTGGTGATTATTTGACTATCTCTACGATGGTCTCTACAAGGAAAATTATGCCGCAAGAAAAGTGATCATTTTGCAGTTTCGCGAAAGTCTTGTGGGATCTTTACTATTTTACATGCCATTCGAGAAGCCGCAATCTGGTTCGAGACAAAAATCAACAAGCCATTCAAAGTGCAAACTTGCTAATCACAAACTCGAAGAAAAGGAAAGATTTGCGCACATTGTTTGAAGACGCTATGCTGGTTGCTATGAGAAAATCGGGCAAAAACAATCAAGAGAAGCCAGTAATGCGACAGCAAAGAAAATAAAACTCTTCTGTTCTGATTGTGACAAGTTTTTTTCTCTTGATTGTTTTAACAAGAAGCACCACGCTATGCAATAAATAGTAGCGAAAGCAGATCAGATGACACATTACGTGTAACCTCCTGAGTACGAGAAAAAGGAAAAGAAGGTGTTTTTCTATGAAGTTTCTTGTTAAAATATGGTGGATTTCACCGATGGGTCTCATCACGTTGAATGTGTTAACACATTCTGCTCATATTGAAGTGTATCTATATCGAGAATCGAATACTAGAAGTTTCAGTTATTGGTGCAAGTCATCAAATGAGAAATGAATGAGATCCGTCAGTGTCTAATATCGGATGTTCGGTAACATGTAGAGTGACTAAGTTAGATATGTCTTTTATCAATTAGACGTTAGCTGAAGTTTCCTTGTTTTTTTTAAAGACTTCCGTAGACTCACTTAGCTTGTGCTCATTAAATACATACCTGTTCACTAGAAGGTCAATTACATGATATGGGTCAATCAACTTCTCATTCGAGCAAGACTAACACTGAGATTGATTACACGACGCCAACAGTACGCTATTCAGTGAAAAACGACGACACATTGAAGAAAGGTCTTGCGTATTTGAACGAGAATGGATATGTTGTTATCAGTGATGTACTGAGTCGTGAGGAGATCGATGATAACAAAAAATTGTTATGGAAATTTCTGGAGGATACTTCTAATGGCCAAATTCGACGTGATCAACCGGAAACATGGTCAAATCCATGGTAAGCTAAGTTATTTCAAAACGCGCTAGTCTTCTGTTGTTTTACTAGGTCCAATTCCTGGGTATTTGGAGTCATCAATGGATATGGTATCGGTCAATCGGATTTTTTATGGAATATTCGATCGAATCGACAAGTGAAAAAAGTTTATGCTCACATATGGAACACCCAAAATTTGTTGGTTTCATTCGATGGATGTTGTATCTTTCGCGATTGGCGTAATAATCCGGAATGGAAGACAAGAAGTGCCTGGTATCATGTTGATCAAAATCCAAAAAACAAACCAGATCGATGTTGTATTCAAGGTTTTGTTACACTTACTGATCAAAATGAGAAAACAGGCGGTCTCATTGTGTTTCCACGTTCACATCTACGCTTTCATGAATTGGTTGAAGTGACAAAGTATCCCAAAGATTTTGTCAAGATTCCACACGATCATTCAATCATAACTCGTGGCAAACTCGTTCACTGTCAAGCCGGTGATCTTGTTCTTTGGGACAGTCGCATGGTTCATTGTAATTCACCAGCTACTGAAATTGAAAAACGGGCAAAAGATGAACCGATCGATCTACTTCGTATTGTTGCCTACGTTAGCATGAGTCCGACTTCGTTTGTATGTGATCAATCACTTGAAGAATTTCGTGAAAAAAGAAAACAAATGGTGGAAAATAATTGTACTCTAACACATTGGAGCACAGAATTGGTCGTCGCAGGTACAATTTTTAATTGAAATTATCTATGTAAATGCATCTGTTCGAAATGATGTTTAGGTGGTAACCATACTGGTTTGCCCAAATTGTCGTTGGACAAGTTCAACGCCTACCAGAAAGCTCTCATCTTCGGTACCGATGAAAATAACAGTGAACAACTGTCCGTGTGATTTTATTATTGATTCCACAATTGACCATGGTTTTCGGTTTGGAAATACTGATACAGTTAACCTAATTTTGTTTGTTTTTTTATTTTTACACAAGCAAAAAGTAATTTGAGTTATATAAAATAAAAAAGATATCGATAAATAATTTGCTGTATTCTGATGATCTTTTATCCGGATAACGAATAGTAATTGGCCGAGGGGTGAGGCTCTCATAATATAATGGAAAATAAATCATTTCTAATTCTTATGTTCGCTTTCCGAAAACGAATAAATGGTGTCGATCATCAATAAGAATTCTGAAGAGTTCTAATTCATTTCTCATTTTGATAAAGAAAGTCTTTGAAAACTTGACAATGACTTTTATTTTATTTTTATTTGTTGTATATATATAATAGTAAACCTTAATTCAGAAAAGTTTTCTGCAAACTTGTTCAGATAAATGTGTGTATATTTTTGTTATTCATGTATATCTTTTTTTTTACTTTGTTTTTCTTGAGACAGTTTTTGGTCATACTTTGTCAATCGAAATTAAAAACGTTGATAATGAAAACTATAACACAATATTTATCATTAAGAGAAGATCCGGCAAAAAACCGACTAGGAAATAGTTACTTGAGTGAAGAACCTGTTTTTGTTGTAGAGATTGTACTATATTCAAAATATGAACTTGATCTGACACTCCGTTGCTGAGTTATGAGATACGCTCTGATAACATGGCTTTCAGAACTAGAAGAATAATGGCCAATTTTTTTGTACTTTTCATATCGAATAAAATCTTTCATTATTTCGAGTATTAATATTTCCCATGACTTTTGTCAAAAGAAAGAACATCTTTTCTTCTATCAGATCATATATTTCTCGACCCTCTATAAATATCTTTATGTGGACAAAAGTTGTCAATAAGGTATCTTTTTAATGAAAAGCAACCGTCCTTTTTTCACGTTTTTAAGTTTTCCGAATAAAGAGTACAACTACACGGTTGCCAAAAATGTTTTGCCCGGGAGGTACAGCTCCAATGAGAATGTTGATGTAGATGAGAGAAACACTCACATCTCAATAGCAAAGAATATATGTTGTTAGCGATCGATTTCAATTTTATTATTGTTTGCTTCAATATCTTATGTTAGCATTGTATATATATTTGGGCATGTAGCAATACAATTAGAACAAAAAGTAGATGAAGAAATTACAGAAGTATTTAATTCTCTTTGTCGTATTCATGCTGATAATTGTATCTCATCCAAGCAATAGTTGATAAGATGATGGAAATCTGATCGATTTCCTAAATTTTCATATTCAAATTGTCATCTGAGAGGTGATTATAAAAATTTAAAAAAATAATGATGGTATACACTGAGAGCTGTAGAACATACAAATTATAATCGGTCTATTGTTTATATTGATGGTGAATTTGAAAGCTAAATACGTAAAGCCAAACAAACTCTCAATAAACTTCAATTGTACGCACATAAAGCAATATCAACTATAAGCATGTTTTATTTTTAAAAAATCAAAAATTTACTCTTTGTCCGTTGTTTTGTTTCTTTAATTTGAAAATGAAATTTTGCTTTGTAAAAAAAAACATGGTTGACTCAGTTGAAATGAATTAATACGAAACTTGATCTTATTTAAATGAAATAATTAAATAAATTTATATTAGTAAGACGCTCAAATGAGAGATGCTTATGAATTTATATTTGATTATGATTCCATTGAAAGGCTTTTTTTTTGTTTCATTGGAGAAACAAGTTGAAGGGGAGAGTAAGGGAACCTTCACAAAGCTTCCCTCCGGCCCCTTGAAGTCATTATTTTTTTTATGAAGAAACAATTCCTTTAGAAGAAAACATAAAGATAAATTTAAAGACAGAATAGATTTTTAATTATTGTAAAATTGTCTTCTATTGAAATAAAAATATTTCTAATGTATTAGAATTTGTTCATTAATTTATTATAAATGAATAGGATTAAAAGAGTGCATTTCAACTATGTATACAGTATATTGTTGAATAAAAGATTCGCTTTTGTCGCTGCTTGTCATCTTGTTGTATTCTTATCGTTATGAGCTTTATCATTTGTTTTTTTTATGAGTCATAAATGTTGTATTAGTACGTTTCACATTCTCCATTTTTCTTTTCTTCCGCGCGCTGTCGTTTCGATGACGTTCTTATCGTTTTTTTTTGTGATGACTCATACATTATGAATTGCTATATTACATGAGTTACATACAAAAATTGTCCTTATTTTAAGTTTTACACAAACGATTTGTGCACGTAAGTAATATTTTATATTGCCTAGACATTGTTTTAATAGTTTATTCGAAATAAGAATGATTTTGAAATGAAAATTAGAATAATTAATAAATACTATTAATACTAATTATTGAAATAGAATTATCGAGATGTATATTTTTCATCAAAGTTAACAATTTTTCATTTACGAGATACAGCTTATTCATTTTAGGTTTATAAAAAAAAAATATCATTTTTCTGAATTAATAATTTCGAATATTAGAACTCGTTAATAAATACAAAAAACAAAGTTTTAATAGTATTTATTTTTTCAAATTTGATAGTTTCAATAATTGTAAAGAGAAGAAAAGATTTCCTATTTGTACTTCTTCGAACCAATCTAAATTATTCTGTAAACACAAAACAAATAAATTTAAATTATTTTAGATATTTAGAACAAAACAAGAAAACAAAAATGAATGAACAAAATATTGATACATCATTATCATCCGATGAATTATGGTTAAAAATTATTAATGAAGGTAAAGAAAATCGTGTCGAAGTTAATCAACGTATGTTAATTGATAAAATGTTGGCACGTTATTCATCTGAATTTGTTGTTTATCGAGAATTAATTCAAAATTCTGATGATGCTCAATCAACATCATTTACACTTGAAATAACTTGTGATCCATCAACATCAACAATAAATTATGAATCAATTAATAAAGATGATTTATCAATTAATCAAAGAAAAAGAAATAATATTTTAGAAGGTATTGGACAATTATTTAAAAATCATTGGAAACCAAATAATACAATTAATTCTAATCAAGATATAAATGATTTTTCAATAAATGATCAATATTCATTTGAAAATGATTTTAATAATTGTATAATAACTGAAATTCGTACAATAAATAATGGAAATATATTTAGTGAAGATGATTGGAAACGAGTTATAACTATAGCTGAAGGAAATACAAATGTTGATGCTATTGGACAATTTGGTGTTGGATTTTTTTCAGTTTTTTCTTATTCTGAACGACCTATGATACAATCTGGTAAACATTGTTTAGCATTTTCTTGGCAAAATGGAAAATCCTTAACAACATTTCGTAAAGAATTATCAAATGATCAAAAATCATCTTTAACTTCAGTTATTCTTAAAATGAAAAATAAATCTATTTTAGAAACAAAATCAACATTAGAAATCAATGAATTAAATAATGATTTTCATAGATCAACTAAATCAAAAAAAAATACACTTACAAATGAAATCGTACCTACAATGGATTTAACACAACTTAAAGCTTATTTTACAAAAGTTCTTTCATTTACTAAATATATTAATGAATTAATTATTAAAATAAATGGTTTAATAGTTTTTCAAGTTAATAAAATAAAAAAACCATTATTATCAACAAAATTATCTTTAGCAGTAAAAAGACTTAATGCAAATAATGAACATAATTTACTTCGTTTTAATTCATTTACACAAACTGAACAAACATTTTCTATTGAAAATGGTCCATCAATAACTCTTAATCATATTGATGTTCAAGCTGAATTAACTATTGATAAAGATTTTCATCAACAAATTCGAAATGTTCTTAAAAAAAGTTTACCTTCAATTGTACATATTCAATTTTTATTTCCATCAAATAATGTTTGTTTATTTTTAGATTTTTTTTTTTTTTTAATAGAATTTTATCTTTGTTTCTCTCTATCTAGATACTTCAACAACAACAATGGAAAACATTAACAAATAATAATTTAAATAATCAAATATTAAAAGCATTAATTCCATTAAAATTTCATAATCAAGATATTCTACCAGCTGGTCAAATATTTATTGGTTTAGCAACACATCAAACAACAGGTATTGGTATGCATTTATTTAGTCATTTAATTCCAACAATTGAACGTGAAAATATTGATTTACAAGATCCATATATTTCAATATGGAATGAACAACTTTTAATATCAATTGGAAAAATTATTAGATATATTTATGATCAAATTATACTTGATGCTGTTAATAATATTCAACAAGATACAAATCAACATCTTAATCTTATTCTTTCTCCTTATGCATTTGAACCATCAGCACCAAATAAAGATATTGGTTAGTATATCTATATATAATATCAACTTTTTTCCTCAAACTCTTCTACTATTGTTGTTTGTTTTGAAGGTCGTATTCTTCTTGATGGATTTTTTTCATCTAGTGAAGATATTCTTGTACCAGTGAAACGATCACCATCTGATAATCATCTTTCATTAATTCCATCAACAGAAGCTTTTCTTACAAATTCTAAACATATACAAGCATTTCTTCCTGTACCTCTTGTTCCATTTGATATTGGAAAAAATAATTTTTTTAAAGTTTTAAAAGAACGTCGTTGGATTGAAGAAATTGATAATGAATCAATTTTAATTAAAATTCATCAATCAATTTTTTCATTTAATGAATTTATTGAATTACTTCGTTGGTTATGTAAATATGATATTAATAATAATAAATCTTATATAAAACATGTTCTTTCAAAAATACATTATCGTGAAACTCGTCAATCATCTATTATTAAATTAGAAAAAATTGAATTTTATGATACTTTAAATATATCTTCTCTTCCATTACCTTCAAATGTATTACCATCTAATATTGTTAGTCATATATCTCGTGAAGATTTACAAAGACGATTATCATTAACAGCAATTTCAGCAAAGAATTTAATTCAATATTATCTTGCTGAAAAACAATTAAATCTTTTTCATAATGAAAATACATCGAAAATTCTTCTTAGTTTTATTTGTCAACATTGGAATGAATTTAATGATACAGAAACAAGTCAAATTAAAAGTGTTTTATGTAATATGAAATGTATTCCAACAAGTCAAGGTATGAAATCACCGAATGAATCATATATTCGATCATCAAATTTATCTCCTGATTTACCTATAATTACACTTTACATTCCACAACTTATAAAAGATAATAATCAAAAAGAAAAACAAGAATCAATAGATCATCCAGTGTCAAATGAATTTCTTAAATTAATTGGTTGTCGAACAATTCATATTCCAACATCAACAGATACTTTACAGGCTACATCAGATATTTCATCAAATAATTCACAAACACTTGAAAATTTTATTCAAGATTTATTAAAACAACGTAAAAATATGAGTGACAATGATCTTCATGCATTAAAATACAATCAATGTATTACAGGTTCGTTTTGCAAAATACGATCTCAACAGAATGTTGAAGTATAAGAGTAAAAATTTGAACCTTCCATGAATCATCAGAGACCACTATAGACTATGAAAGATAGTGATATACGATCAAAGTCCGTACTTCAATTAACTTCTCATTATAATATAGTATATACTACTAGCGAGAGTCCATGCATACTGCACAGATGTTTTTTTCTTGTAAAGTTTCGCATCTGTCCTTTAGCCTTGATTTGGTAACAGCCAATCAGAGAGTTCACATTATACATATAGAGACCTTATAGCCTTATACTCTGGTGATATTACTTCTTATAGCTTTATTCCATTATTCCCTTATCCCTTATACCCCATGCAACCTCATCTACTTATCCACTATATCCTTATCTCCTGATACTCTTTTAGCTTTATGGCTTATGCCCCTATAGCCTTAGCTTCTTATTCCCTTTTTTACCCTTATAGCCTTATCCCCTACTCCATTATAGCCCTTGAGAACCTATGGGTACCTCCGTATAATAGCCCTTAAGGGTCTATGGATACCCTCATATAACAGCCCTTGAGAACCTATGGATCTCCATATATAATAGCGTTGGAGGCCTTTTGCTTATAGGATTATTTGATCTAGGCACAGAGACGTCAGACAGACACTGAACATTATATATATATATAGATTTCCTTTTGGTGAATTAAGTAAAAGGATAATGAAGAAATGTATCCCAAAATATGTAGAATAGAATAATTTTCCTGTGATTAACAATAGCAGTTAGTTTATGTTTCACATTTTAATCCCACAATGATTGCGCTTATAGTTTTTCATTTTTTTTTATTTGTTAAAAATAACTTCTATGAATTTTTTCTTGCTTTATTATTTATATAGGAACAACATTAGAATCAAATGATGAAATAAAACGTAAATATAAACCTAGTGAACTTCATTTTCCATCAGTAGCAAAACGTCTTAAATGGAATGAATTATTAATAATCGATTGGATAGATATTAATCCACATTCACAAGAATATTCTTTTCTCAAAGAACTTGGTGTTAGAGAAGTACCAGATTTACATGAATTAATTATTCGAATTGATCAAGAACATCAAAATGGATCAAAAATAAAAACTGATTATCAATTACCAAAAGCACTTGAGTTTTTTGCAGAACATTTTCAAGAACATTATTCAAAATTATGGAAAAAATCAAATATTAAAAAACCTTTTCTTCCATCATCTATTCCTAATGTTAATCAATCAACAGAAGTTATATTAACAACACCTGAAACTGTTTTTAAAGGTTTGTTTTTAGATTAAAAATGTTGTTTTTTTTTCATATTAATTTGAAATTTCTATTTTTTCTTATAAAAAATAGAACTAAGTCCATTATTTCCAACTTTACTTCCTGATGTAATTCGATGTTTTTCACGATATTTTAATATTGATTTACTTGGTATTAAAAATCATCCTTCTTTATCAATGGCTTTTGATGTATTAATGGAGAAACGAAATCAATTATTAACTTCTCAAACAGCTACAAAATATTTTTCTTATTTTAAAAAATTAGATGGTCTTAATACAACATTTATTCAAAGAATTTCAAATATTCCATTTATTCCTTTATTAGGTTTGTTTTTTATTTTAATAAATAATTAAATATAATAAAATAACATATTTTTAAGAAAATAATATCTATGTTAAACCATCTCAAGTATTTATTCGTTCAAAAAATTCAACAATCGATAAAATATCTCAAGATAATAATAATACCTTGGATGATGTAGCAGCACATGGTCTTATTGATTATATAGATTATGGTTCTGAAGCAAATTCATTTCTTCTTAGTATTGGAGTTCTTTATTATCCATCAGCAGAAAATCTTGCTGATTTACTTATTGAACGACAACAAACATATTTTAATCAAAATAAAGATAATAATGAAGAACTTATATCAGCTAAAGTACGTTTTTATACAAATTGTTTAAAACAATTATCGGCTGTATCAAATGTAACACAACAATTATATATTGAACCATTACGTAGTCGTTTAATAAATAAACCATGGTGTTTAGCTTATCAAGGACTTGAACGATCTGATGGAACAAAATATCAAATATTTAAAATTGCTAAACCAAGTGATATTTATTTAGATGATGATCATCAATGTGCTATTGATCTTCGACCATTATGTGCACCTGATGAACCAGAATTAATTAAATTTTATGAAAAATTTGGTTCAAAATGGATATCAGAATGTGTTAAACGAACATTAGTACATAGAGGTTTATATTTACAAACAAGAAAAATTATTATTTGTATGTTTCTTTTTTTTTTTGTTTCTAGGAAAATGTTTTATAACGGATAGAAGTAAAAAGTTATGTGATAGAATTCATCATCGTTTAGATATGTTATTTGTTAATAATAGAGTATTTAGTTTCTTTTAAGATTTGAAATATTTTTTAATAATATTTTATTTTATTTTATTTTAGGGAGAATCTATGAAAAATATTGATGAAAAACGTATTGAATTATTACGAAAACAATTTTCTATTTATGAAGCTGAAGGAATTCAATGTCAATTAACATTTCAAAATAAAACAATAACATTAAATGTATGTTTCAAAAACATTTTTTTTTGTTCAAATAATATATTAAAATATTTTTTTTTTTTAATTCAATAAAAGTCTACAGAATGTAGTTCATGTGCACTTGAACATGAAAGAAATCAAGTATGTTTATATATTCACAAAGATATTCCTACACTTGATTATATCGATATTGCTACTGAATTAACACGATTTGTATATAAAAAACCACTTGATACATTAGTTCATTCGATTAGTGATAAACTTGCTTCTCCATTAGAAACACTTAAACGACGTGGAATTCCTGTTGATCGATTAATAAAAAATCCCGAACAACAACGTAATATTAAAATTTTATCTTATTCAAATAATTAAGAATTAAAAAAGAAAATTTTCTTGTTTCTTTTTTTCTTTTCTATAGCGATTAAATTATCTTTACATATTCAACAAACAAAATCAGAAGAAAATAAACAAATACAAACATTGAAACAACAAGAACCAACATTTCAAACACAACAAATTCAACAATATAATCAACAAGAATCTCAAGAGAAAGTTAATCCTAAACAAAAACAACCATTACAACAACAAGAACAAACACTTCAAGTTGATAAACTTCAACAATATTATCAACAAGAATTTCAAAAACCAACTAATAATCAACAACATTCACAAACTCCACGCGGACTTTTTCAAAATTTAAAAGAGTAAGATATTTTATTAATTGATAGATTATCATTAATACGACTGTTGCATTTCAAACAGATGCTCTCGTGATATTGGAAAGCCGAGGGTAAAGGAAATGAGAAAGAGAAGTTCTGTATATAATTCCAATACTCTTATGAAACTCACATACATTTTCGAAGATAATAGTGAGTGTAAGTTTTGCGATTTCTCTCAGCAACTCAAGTTAAAGGCCATTCAGTATGCTTCCACAGGTATAAATCAATGATGTTTATACTGCTGTCGCTCGTAATTATGCAAGTGAAAATAAACAGGTTTGTGTAGCGAACAACATTAGTTGAAATTTCATACTTGTTGTCTTATCATAGTTAGTGCTTTAATATCTATACGCAGAGAACTGTATTGATCCTAGAAAATTTTCATGTGAGTTCCATATTTCAGCCTTAGATGTGCTGACTTTTTTTTGATTGATTCTTTATTGCTCGTAGTTCTAACTAACAATCGTCAAAAAAAGAAAATATTGTGAAAGCGCAACAATTATGAATTCTTTTTATTTAGTTTATTGGTTCCTGTTCAATTACCTTCTCCTTCTCCTCAAACTCAATCTGTTGAAAATATTTCAAGTACAATTGAAAGAAATCGTATTGATCATTTTGGACGATATAAATCTACAGACGATGATGATATTGATACAATGATTCGAGCAACACGATCATATTCTCAAATGGAATTCAATCAAATGGAACATTCTAGAAATGAAAATAATACTTCATGTGAATTTGTGCCAGCTGCAAATATGATGCGTTATGATAGACTTTTTTATGGCATTCCTCTTTATATTGATCGTAATGTTAAAATAACAAATATTTTACTTGATCAAGGTAAACAACTTGCTTGGTTATTATCTGGTCTTGCAAAACAAGTATTTAATATACCTGTAGAAACAATGCATCTATTTCGTGATATTGAGAGTGGTAAATATATAGAACATAATTAAATTCAATTTGATTGTTTTTTTGTTTTTTTCTTAAGCTCGTATTGCTTTCAATAGTAATGGTGCATTATTTTTCAATCTTCGTTATTTTGAACAAGTATTTTTCGATGATCTTAAACCATATCTTGAAAATTCTACAACAGTATCATCATCAACTCCTATTGTTCGGAAAATAGTTAATTTCTATTTTATGGTTGCTTGTCATGAATTATCACATAATATTGATTCAAATCATGATTTAAATTTTATTAATCGTTTTGAAAAAGTATCTGTTCGATTTATGGATGCAAAAGATACATTTCTATCGAGATTCTTTTTTCAAGAACTATAATTATTATGGAAATATCTTTATAAGTATTCTTTTATTTTTCAAATTGTTATTTAATATTATTTCTGAATAGCTGAATAAAAAATGTTCAAAAAAAAAAAACAAACAAAAGTCTTCATTGATGAATTATTCAATTATATTGTAAAGTTGAATTTTAATTTAAAACGAATTGTATTAGAAATATTAAGGGCACGAGTGGATGAGGTGAACACCTACATCCAAGTTTTCAAGAAAACTTTTCTCAACTAACAATAAATTTCAATTTATGGAATCGATAACAAAGATATTTCTCTGTCGATCTATGCAATATTTTTGCTGAAAGCCTTGAAATCGACCAACGGATCATTGATCACTCTAAACTATATTGAGTTTGGTATATTCGTCTATGCTGAGTCTCATGGTGGTGAAACACATTTTGTTTAATTTTTAATATTTCAATGCTAAATCAATCAAATTTTGCATGTTTCACTTTTATTCATATATTTATATAAAGAACAAAATTCACAACAATAAAACATTCTAATAAGGTTCATTGTAGTATTAAAGTCAGATTTGAATTATGAAAGACAAGTTGTATGATTTGAAGTCTATTGTTAAGAGCATATGTCTAGCGAAACAAATTGTTGCAAATGATTAACAAGAGAATAAATAAGATTAAGAATACATTTTTTTAAAGTTCATGTTTATCATCAACAATACAAAATGAATTCTAGACCTATATAATATATGAATCATAATTTATAAATGAACGCTTTTT